CTGGACGTCTTCCGACGACGAAATCTATCCGCTTAGGTTATCCGGCTTGAGAATTTACCATTCTGGTCGGTCTGATCGAATAAAATCACCAACAGCTAGTCGGAGGGTTCCTGATTCTGAGACGAATTCCAGTTTCTTACAGCTGTGTGAATGGTAAGAAAGCAATGGGACCATGGCTGATATCGGAACGTTCTGGACGTCTTCCGACGACGAAATCTATCTGCTTAGGTTATCCGGCTTGAGAATTCACCAGCTGGTCGGTCTGATCGAATCAAATCACCAACAGCAAGTCGGAGAGTTCCTGATTCTGAAACCAGCAACTTCCGCTGCTTGACCGAAGGTTCACTTGCTTAACTCAGTCTGCGCACACTCAGTGTATTCGATTATGAACAAAATTTTTCAATATAGTCAACCAGATCCACACTGAAAACTACAAAACAATGTTATGCTACTTCAATTGTGGTAGTAGTCTCGATTATGCAAGGATATCTCACTTTCCCGAGTCTGATCACATCTCCTCCGCTTTACACCTCGCACTTGCTCAACACAGGTCGGATGTCACTCGATATCTTCGGTCAGTTTTCATACACATTTGTTTACAAACATAGACGCAAATAACCATTTCCATTCTGATCATATCCAATGATGCAACTATGAATATATTTGTTTCTTTATGTACTGTTCGATAACATTGATCGACAACATACAATATAGACGTGGTAATTCAGATGCGTCCGGCCTACACTCCTGGTGTACTTTAGGACCGTTGCCCTGCATGTTAGATGTCCGGAGTTCAAATCCCAGCAAGACCGAAGATATCCATTGCTGATGAGCTCCTATAAGGTTGAAACCGGAGTTCAGTGCTTTGCCTGTTTGGTGTGGACTCAACAGACTGCTTTCGCCAACTTTTGACATTTTCATGAGAGATCTCAATTAAATTATCAAGGTGTCTTGAAACCTTTCTAAATCTGATTCGACGGGAAATTTAGTTGCCCGCTTGGGTGCTCAATCCCTGTTGTAATATCTAAAGCATCGTACTCTAGACACGCTAGCATAGCAGTGGTTCACATTCAAATTTCTGTCGTGAGACGAAAGGTTTCCGTCTCGGAATTTTCAAGACAGCCTATGAAAAGGTACTAAATTGTCCTCTCAGGAAGAATTTGGTTACAGAGATACTTAACGTCTGCCTATAAGGTAACATGTTGTCCGTTGTTAGGATTGCCCGAAACCTAATCGTTGAGTGGTGTCATCTATATCTTTTCGGTATCCTAAAGGTAGATCTATGAAGCCCAGAATCCTAAAATGCTTGAGTGAAAATCTGAAGGTAGTTAGGTGTCTTGTAAAGATATTCTGATATTCATGTAGCTCACCAGACTCCCTGTTGGAGGGTACAAACCTATGCAACATCTTACCTTTCCAATGAGCCATGATTATATTACTATCAAGAAAAGTTAGGAGAAGATTCCTGCACAGCTATTTAAAAGCAACAAAATTCTTCTTTAGCATAACGCGCAAGGGCTGTCCCCTACAAAAACGCTGCATAAAACGCTAGTCATCATACTAAAGCAAAAATCTCACCTGACTGGCTTTTAAACTGCACTGAGCCGTACTGCTCGTGTTAGAATGGCACCCAGGCAATGCAACTGAGTGACTAGTAATTGTGTGACTTGTGTAGAACCCAGAAAGGCAAAAATATGAACTGCCAAAGCTTCAAAGTCAAATTGAGGACCGCAAATGCTCTTGATGGATAGTGGCACCGAAATCAAATTTAATACTGGTAATCGATAACTGCTTTCGGATAATAGCTGGTGCTTTGGTTTCAAAGAGTAAATCAGTATATTCTAGGTCCTATTTCGTTAGCGCTCTCCCAATGGTCTCCAACTAGTTTACTTCTGGTACAGCTGTGCCGCTTAGATGGGTTAAATTAGTCTCATTCTGCCGTTTTATTATAGCTACAGTTAAAATGTTCATCTGAGAAGGGCTCATGATCACGTAATTCGATGAAATCGATCGAATGCAGAGCGTGGTAATACAAACGGCCTCAAACTTGGTTGCCATTCGGATCTTTCTTGTGTTGCGGCGCAGCAACCACATCGTGAGATTTGACCAGTGTCTACTACACCGCTGTTAGACGAAAGAACAACATCACCGTTCAATTCGAGCACAGTATGAGGGGATTATTCATGTGTTAGACGTTGTCTGCCCATCGAATTCAGTACCAAGTCATCTACTGGGTTGCTCCAGGTAGTTCGTCAAGTCTTCTTTCGCCATTCGTTTTGTCCTCCTCTGACCAGGGTAATAGATGCCGGAACGCAGAGCGCAGAAGGGAAAAGCACTCCAGTGCAATTATATGAAAATTTAGACCAATCAGAGTGGAATGTAAGAACAGATAACTACATTTGGGTTGAACTTTTACTCAGTTTCAGTTCGTTGCTTTGTGATACGCTCGGCTTTCTTTCATCTACGGTGTCTAAAATGACAAGTTTTGTGTTGCTAGTCCCTTACGATCACCGCTCTCAGGTGATCGAAATTGCTGGGATACTTAATAGCCCTAGTAGTGAAACTGCACCTTATTGATTGAGTCATCAAATTCGTTTCAGATTTATTTCATTTCAGTCCACTTTATTCTGTTGAGTAGAGTTGTCACAAGTCTGCCAGATTAATACGATATTTGTCTTCATTCACTCTCACGTATAATGATCATTATTGGAAATTCTCATAAGCCACCATACTTCCCCAGATCAATCAGTAGTAGATGCTCCGTTAGGAACCTCCTGACTGAGTGAAGAACGTCCACCTGCCGGAGAGATGTTGCGGGATTGAATGACGAGACTTGGAAACTACTGAGGAGCAAAATGGAATTTTTCTTATGGAGAGGCGTCGTTATGTATCTTTATGTCCATTACCATCATCAAAAAGTTTCTGGTGATATCAACACATGTTTTGCTGCCAAACGAATGTACTCCTAATTCAGGCAAACGAATTGGGATAAAATCATCCATCTAACAAGACATACAGGCCACTTACGTTAATTGTCTTGCAGTCTCTAGGTTTCATCGTAATTATGCTTGTGGTAACCCTATTTTTCAAATGAAGAACATAGAAAAAATTGAAGTTGTGCTGTTATTTGCAAGAAACTCACAGTATACTGAATATGACAGGAAGTTTTTGTCAAGCAACACCTTCGATCAGCCAGAACCAAGTAATCTTCGGAGAATAAATTCGAAATGCCCAATAAGTTACCATATCTCACCTCCATCCATTTTCCTCCAAACAGGTTACGTAACCCCAAAAATTAAACGTGCGGACATTTACAATAACAAGCTTTATGTCATGATGGATACCAGTCTATCCGAAGTAAGCCACACGTACGAGGTCACTATCGTCGAGAATGAAAGCGTACAAAAAAGATTCGTTTTGAATGGTCCAATCGATTCGGTCAGAGACGTCACTTGTAATCAGTGCGTTATCTACGTCCGCACATACTCCAAAGAGGGTAGTTCGGCCTTTTCTGAACCAACGCGTCCTACAATGCATCCGGGTATGTTCTTGAATCTACTAAAATATCGTTTACATTGTCGTTAGTGCTTTTTACAAGCTAGATTTGTTTTTCATTAAGATGGGAAGTGATTTTCAATCAAAGTCCGCTGAAGTTGCCTTGCTCTTTCTATGGGATAGTTTGGAACTTCCAAGGGGATTAAGTAGGATCTAGGAAATGTTGGTTATTATGCGCGGCCGTGAGTCCTTTATCTGGTTAGCCCTTTTCTTTCTCTCACATGTTTTGAAAAGTTAGAACTCTCGATGGAAAATGAGGCTACTGTGGTAATCAAGATCACTATCCACATCATTCTTTCCGCATTATCCCTCCTGTGCATGCTCAAAAACCTTGCAAGCTACGGGTTTTTTGTCAATTTCTATTCATATTTTCTAAACGGGTGCCCCGAAATGCAGGCACTTCGGAATGACTGTATTAGGTTAACACCAATTCCCCTCAATCCAATTTAATTACTTTATTCCCGATAGGAAATTCAAATAACTAATTGTTGTATGGCAGCGATGCATCAGTGTTGAAAGTTGTTGCTGTGCTGTCGATGATGATGATGATGATGATGATGATGATGATATGATGATGATCAGTCATATGCCAACCGTAATAATTGTTGTTTGTCCGTTAGCCAAGTACCGAGATAGTCTTTGCTTGACGATTAACCCAAGTGCCCTGTATGGATGCACTGTATTAGCTACTGATACGAAAATGAAGGACGATCCTCCATAAATAATAGGGCTATTTCATTTTTTTACAAAGCCAGAATTTAATTCGAGCGTGCTGGGTGCTTCATCCTGCCGAGTGAGTTTGTATCATCTTGGTCTTTTTTTCTGGAAGGCAGACCTGGAAGCATTTTCTTGACATCTCGGAAAATATTCCGTAATCAGTGCTTTTGGACTGAATGTTGTGCGAAGGAAAAGGTAGCCGCATGTTTTGTTGAACATCTTTGAACAGCAGCCACCGACTCTCAGAACAACGCTACAAATCGATATTCAATTCTGCAGAACCGAAGCTATTGAATTTGAGTATGCAGATGTTCGACTTCCGGTAGGTTTGCAACACCACACGTATACTCAACTCTGCCTAGCTTCATAATTTTGATTACTGATTCCTCTGGCTCACAGACACTGGACGTTCGGCACAGAAGCTTCTTCTGGTTAGCCATACCACGTTGTGTACTATTGCAAACTGACCGTCATTCCATTTGGTCGAACTCTCAAACAGTCATTTGACTGCCGCGATCTAGCTGGGCTATTTCGAGTCAGTCAATTCAGTATATCAATGGAGCTAGAAGGGGTTTCAACAGACTCGAGTTAAGTCACTCTGGCAATCAAGCAGTAGAACTTTTACCCTTGTAATGCTGATGACCATATTTGGCTTCTGGTAGTATTTGTATGGCATCCCTCAAAGAAGCTTTCCAACGCAGGGAAGCGCAGTTAGGCAGGACGACGAAAAAACGCACAGTAATCTGGATTGGAATGATCGATCGAAACAGTTGGCTGGCATGCCTTGGTGCGCTAGAAGATTGTATTTGTGGGCAGAATAGCAAAACGAAATGCATCTCAAAATTAAAGTTGTTTATGTAACTTATTCAACTACTGGATGACCTCGATATGTACGCTTGGAAAAGCGTTTCATGAACTGCGAGAGTGACTGCAAATGAGAAGAAGCGATAGCGAGGTCCAGTTGACTCACAAGCTGATGAAAATTTCTCGGTAGTTGACCAATGGTCCCACCCTTCTTGAGGCTGAACCATTCGTTTTAATCCCAGTTGAGTGCGGAACTGTACTTAAAGGGGGATGCACACCCACTTGCAAATTAAATTGTTAACAAGGGAATTTAGTATTCTCCACTTAGTTTCTGATTTATGATAGGGAATCTTCGTACAGCGTCGGATACATCTCGCCCGTTGTAATCAAGTCGCTTAATAAAACACGAAACCTGCTATTAGCTACACGATCGATAAGACAGATAGAGGATTTCAACAAATATTGAGAAAACAACCCTAGAAACAAAGTTCGAAAGCAAAGTTTGCGACTTACTCAACTGACAAATCCGCGTCTGGGTGCGCGTGGTTGTTTAACAAATTGTGCCCTGGATTCAAAGTAAACAGGGTGCTTCTAACTGAGCGATGTGGTGTGCCACCGTACAGGTATCTCGAAATCTCTCACCAGTGTTTGCTACCCAGCTAACCCATAAGAATACGTCTACGTCTTAGGTAACTTCTACGCCTGGATTACTTCCACAGCCACTTCCCTTGCAAGCAGCGTAGAACTGTCTACGCTGTTCACACATTCGCACTACTGTGAAAACTACCATTAAGTAGCAACCTAAATAAAACACGAGAATGATGCGTCCATCGACCAGTCTGTCCGCTTTTTAATGATAAGTTCACTCCCAACTGATCTAATTACGGTGGTAACACACCGACATCTGAGCTGATTTTTCGGCAGCTCATCCACGAAGATGATCTTGAAACTATTGAATAACCACATGTCATTTTTTCACACTAGAAATGTCTGCAAGCGAGAATTTTGAAGTAATCATTACCAGAAGCAGTCCGAAATTGCAGTGGAACCTACCATCTAGGCACAAAGCGTATCGAGTGATATTCAAACCGCTTGTTGGAGGCAAGGAAACGGAAATACCACTCCCGAGTGCACAAGGTACACACTTCATAAAGAAATACAAAGTATGCACTGTCTACGAGTTCCTACTCGTACGGAGGGAAAAGAATGGAGGTAATACCACCGTCAAAAATGTTACGATTTATACTGAACCTGAATGTAAGTTGGATATTTCGTGGACCATATGATTTCATGCTTATAAAGTGATTTTGAAATGAGAAAGTCTACTACACTGAACCCACAACATGCGCGACAGCAGGAAAAAAGGCTCCAAAAATCCTGGTTTCAAACTTTCCCCTTATTACAGAAGAAGTGTAGTGTTCATTTTTCAATATTACGAATATAATACAGTAAAATGCAGTTCACTTATGGTGTCAGATATGCACACATACATGCAAAATGATGCGTTAGAGAAAGAGGTGTCTAACTTAAGCAGAAGCATAACACGGAAACAGTGTTTAATCCTATTCGTCACGGGATTCTTTGCGAGTCGACTAGGAAAGTGGAAAATTCAAGCCAAAGGCGAAAATTCAAACAAAGCATAAAACTTCTGGTTAACTTCCTAGGAGGCAGAAGCTTTCTAATCCGCTCAAGCACGCTTCCTTGCTAGGTAACACTTCGACTCCTTAACACTCCACTCTCAGTGCGGAACCTGAGCAGAAAGTTTCGAAATATTCAATTCGTTTTTTGTACTACTCAGACAGCTTGGTACATCTGAACCTGAATCGGATTAAATGCAACCACAAAAAGGCGAATATGCGTCTGCTTTACACAACACACTACTGACAAGGTTACCGAAAACTCCAACAATACACTGTCAATTTGACCCTCCTGACTGATTAGACAGACCTAGTTTCCATATATCTTGTGCTCGGCATGAAACCAAATTGTACGCAGTTGACGAAATACACCTACTTAAAAACAAGTATGATGTTAGTGAGAGGTATAAATCTCTTGTTAACTCCAGTCTTCAGCTGTAGGACTTAGCTGGACGTGATATTTGAGGCATCTCAGTATGGCTTCTTCTCGTAACACTACTCATATTGTTGCTGAAAACCATAAAACCCAAAATGTGCGCAGTTCGTCAAACGCACTCACTGAATTTCACGTCTGTGCTGTTCGCCAACTCAGTGTCCTGCACATAAGCTGCTTTATTTTTCAGTTAGTAGGAAACTTGAGATATCGTAGTACCTTAACCTTCAAATGCCAAGAAACTATGGTGCCATATCTCAATTATCGCGCCAACTGAAACATCATACGACCTTTGTGTGGCACAACAAGTTAAAGAATATCATTACCAGAGTTTCATCTTTAGGCCATTTGTCTCCCGTTGTTACCAGCATAAGTTGCAAACGAGTCAGTTTCGCCAGTAGCTCTTTAAGTAGAACACAATGTCGATGCGATCCTGGGAACTACGCATACTCTGTCTGATGAGCTCCAGGAGGTGCGAGATGAGCTGTCGAGGGCTTTCTCGTAAACTTGTAAATATCTTTGTGCTTTGTTGTGAAACTATACTTCGATATCTTGAGTATCGTGCTAAGAGAAATATGCGACGGTATATGTGCGGCAAAAATATAAACACTGGGTTAAAATGGATTAAAATTTGTCGAAAGAGTTGTTTTTCAAAGAAGATAGGCGCTTTGGTGGGATCCACTTAAAAGAGGAAACCCTGGTGAAGCATATGTTCGGTTGAAAATCATCTTGTCCATATACGGCCTACGATTATTTTTTTGGTTTCGCAAACTGCTGAAATCTGGCAGATGTTGTCTGAGTAGACTGTAGCATCCTTAATGTTCTACTGACCAGGAAGATAAGAGAGCCTCTGGGAATACGTGGGTTTTTATTCAGGAACGACCATTGAAAGACAAGGACATCGAGGCCTGGATTTACCGGATCCAACAAGCCCAGTGCCAGTTGGTATTCACTTTCATTCACAACCGAGATGTACTTATTTTACCAGGGATCGTTCCTGAAAAAAGGCTTTATATCGCTCCGGTTTAGGTAGCAAGTGGACAGCTGTAGAACCACGGTTTTGACAACCTCTCTTCATCCCCACAAGTCGTGTTAACTAAGTAGCAGACAGCAATCGATAATCAGCGGATAAATCCTTTTAGTTCCATAGGAATAATGTCACGGTGAATAAATACCCAGTATTATGCACTCTAAATTCGTGAAAATTTAACAGTGCAACATGAACATTATAGTATAAGTAAGATTATAGACAATTTTAAGGCTGAACTTCACAAGTAAGGTAGTAGTCAGCATCATCCAGATTGTTTTGACGAACTAAGTCTGTATGGGCTTAACAAAACAAGGCCTATGGATTTCGGAAAGTCCGAATGGCGGAGAGAACATCTGTGAATGCACGTTGAATGTTTAGGACTTATGTGTTGTTTAGGAAATCTTTACAGATATTTCCTCGTAGAACATATTGATTTTTGTTGTTTATGTTATTTCTAAAGGTAAATCACTATTCTGTGGCGTACCGCCATCGTTTTGACAAGAGTGTATCACAGGGGTAAGGACTTTTGTTTTATACACCGGGCGGTGACTTCCATTAATTGATGTGGAAGCACATTGCCCTCCTCAGCATGTGTGATTAAGAAGGCAGTTGCTATCAAGTGTACTATTCGCAATGTATCACCCGGCTGCATGTTTATGAAACATACGATTTTGTACCAAACATATCAAATCACCCACTGTCCACTATCCAACTGATTTCAGTACCGGTAAATATGACACTAAGGCCCATTGTCCCCGGAGAATTACGCATGGTGTTCGACTTGAAAACCTCTGGCAAATGTCCGTTACATTACGCCATTCACAATCTCGGTAATCTGAACGGTACGTCAATGCTTCAACTTGGCACCCCCTTCACGATCAAAATTCACAATCCCGAGAAGAAAACGCGTTTCAAACATGCCTACACTTTTCTTGGATTTCCGAGCTGTGTGCGTCTGCGGATCACAGTTTTGCCAGTACTGCAGAGACTGCAAATGTCTGCTGCTTATTCTGTATCCCAGTCGCACCTCCTGGGTAAGTGTTCGGCAGTTATCTATTTTGGACAAAACTTGTGTTCTGAAGAGAGTTAATTTGCTCAAGATTGAGATCCATGTTCTGAAGATACTGAATGTTGTACTACTAAATATCTGTATTATTAGAAAAACCTCCTGTTCAGTCTATTTGGAGCTAGTCATCGATTGAGTAAATATCAAGTTATTTTCCGCACTCTAACTGGGTTTTCCATATTCACCCATGTTAGATTTGCTGAAACTCAGAGCACACAGAAGTTTTACTGAATCCTCCCCGATTTATTAACTTAGATTGCAAAGTATTCCTTCGCTCTTTTAGAGATACCTGCATTGCTGCTTTGTACACCTGCGCTTATCTGCTTGAGTGGGCTCACTTGGATGTAGTGTTGGTCTCTGACAAGCCCGACCAAAATATTAGTACAGAATGTTTTCCTCTCTACCCGTACTTGCGTGCAATACACAGAGTAAACTAATCTCTCACCCAATTGTTAGTATGGGGTGCTTCCGTGCTAGAAATGCAAACGTAGGTCTTGGCGTAAAGAAGTACGGTATACAACCAAACATCGCTGTAAATAGAAGCTCACATGATCCTCGTATAAGCTGCTCTGAGTTTCTTTAAGAGCCATACTGGAAACTGACGCCGTTTAAATGAAATGCGAATCGCGAGTCTGTGAGCTTATAAAGTGCGAATCAAAACGGCAGCATATGGATTGTTAACCTTCAGTCACCCATACTCCCATGGCTGCCCTTCGCAAAAACAATGCGTTTCTCGTCTTAGTAAAACTCCGTTGCACACTCTGGTCCGTTGCAGTCGAAAGACAGTATTTGACGAACGCCACCTACACATAAAACCGTCGACCAAACCAGTAGCTATAAATGACCTAAGACCTGTGCCTTAGCGAAAGATGGTCTGATGTTACAAGCCGTACCACTGACACCATTGAATGTTCACGGTGGCCGGTACAACTTATGGTGACGGTCCTTAGGAGAGACCGTTGGACTTGATTCTGGAATTGTCTACAGTCTACAGTCTCCTATCCATTTCTGACTCAAGGTAGTTTGTTCCAGTACAAATTCCTACCTTGATACAGTCACCTCGAGGGGGAACCCCACTAAACTGAGTTTTGTTGTTGTGTGGTTAGGTGGCTATGTAAGTTGTGTGTTCTACTTAACCTGAACACGGTACCCTACTACACTGGCAGAATGAATGCAGTTCGCACATGAACTCTGAAAAATGTACATTCAAAGCCTCTGTTATCGATATTTTAGAATGCCATTTCCGCAAACAGAATCAGGCCAAGCATGGCTAAGTAAGCTCCAGTGCCACACGAAATCAATCGACTTTTAAGCGATTTCACGCATTTTACATACGTCTCGTGAGAGACTTCACTTGGTACTCGGGACACTTACGAAACATTACTCGTACCGGTTCAGTATTCATCTGGGACACGAAGCAACAGTACGCAGACACCGACCTTCCCTGATCTACCATGATCCGTCACGCGTGACTGATTTGCAAAGCACAACGTGACTGAATTGATTCCTCCGTTCCTTACATTGTACTGCAGCTATCGCCTTCATCTGACAAACGTTTCACGCATGTCAGCTTTTGTATTCTGATTTCACTGAGCGGTTATGATCTCGGTCTAAGATGAACTTGAAAAAGAAGCAGTTTTGACTATTCCCAGTTTTCTTCATATATAAGAAGCCTGCAAGAAGAAAAAACTGTAAAGGTGACAAATTTTGTGAGTGCATTCTTCCGTCGTAACAAATTTTGTCCTAGCTGATTCCCCCCGTAATAAAAAACGAAATGTTTCCATTTTACGTCCGGGTGGAAACAAAACAAGCATAGAATGAGTGCTTCTGGATGCTTCAGAGCTAAAGCTGAAGTTGTCTGACGTAGCGGAATGCCTTCATTCAGCTAGTTAGACAATAGAAGCAACTAGATGTTGCGTTCAGATCCCTGTGGGAAAAGTTGGACCACATTTGAACGCGCATACAGATAGTGAAAATGCTTGGTGTTTACTTTCGGCTCCTGGTTAAATGAACACAAAACCTTTCTTCTGAGTTCAGGGAGACGTCTTGTGAGGCTGAACACATATCCAACTTTGGAGACACGCAAACACCTACACAGCAGATTTATCACACAAGACGACAAAAACTAAAAGAACCCAAATTAAGCCTTGAAATACAACAAAAAAGAGGTCACTTGACTCTCGAATCCATTTTAAAACACAGTAATTGTCAGCTACCAGCTGAATTCACTTAATAAAATCATGCGAGCTTTTCCCATGTTTTTACGCTAACCGTGTTCTCAATCCCTCAACTTTAAGACAAATGAAGTGGGCTTTGTTATAGACATAATACGCTACTCACAAGGTCGCTGAAAATTCTTGGACAGCCTACGAGTTGTTTTGTTCTTCCTGGGGCTCAGGATGGCGCAGTCACCGAGTTTCCGTCGACCTTATGTTCTACTTGAGACCGAAATTAGCAAAATACATTCAGTTGCAAACAACTCTGGTTTTTTAGTCTCACCAGTGGATCTCACTATGCAGTCAGCGGTGTGGGGCAATTTCTGGAGAGACCAAGAAACGTAAAAAAATTGAGGAAGATGCAATAGTGGTGTCCTCCCACAAACTTCGGTTGTTGACATCGGTTGATTTAAATACCAAACAGATGACGGCTTCCGGACAACCGAGGAATGATGGGCAGAACGCTTGGCAGACAATAAACTGCGAAATGCAGGATCTGTGCTTGCTGACCTACTTTGGGTTCAATGGAGAGTACTGTGAACAACACAAAGAAGCGCCAACATCTGGATTCATTGCGGAACTGAAAATGCTAGAATTGGGGAAAGCTGTGCTACCAGATATCAAAGCATAAATATGGGTTTCGATATGTGAATAGCGCATTTTCTGTGTAAAGAAGAATGAACAGTGACGAGTGAACCAAATGCTGACAGATAGCTACTTTACAATGGAAACAAAACAAGTTGATCTTCCTAGATGCGCTTGCCACAAAAACAACTGGCTGCTAACGGAAAAGCAACTCACACGGACCACATTCTGAACTGCTTCAGCAACCATCCAAACTATCATAAATGAAATTGCGCTCCAACCCTATTCAAGTAGACAGAGACGCACTGTGACGCGATAGAGCCCAAGACGAATTAACGGCGGTTTTATCAGGTACTTCACACCTACTCGAGGAACCACTTATGAAGATGCTTACGGATTAAACAACAGACTTAGTAGTCAGCACAATCAGAACAGAATGATTACTCTTGCCCATACCGAAAACCGCTGAATTGACTGCGAGACATCCGACGCAACATTGAATAGCATTCGTCTTCAAGCCCGTAAGTACGTTGAGAAGAGCCCTGTCTGGAACAAACAGAAGACTGAATACAAAGAAGCAGACGAATGTGATCTACACATATCGTTAGAACGACTGTGATGAACTGTAGTTTGGCCAGGCTGGAAGAAAACTTGTCACCGGAATACCAGCTTGCCAGCTTGTCATTTCTCTTAAATAGCAAGGACAGAGGATGTCGGTTCAATTGAAGTGACTTCCAAATACTCGCCCGCGCATGAATGGGACTTCGTCAAAGAAGTTAATCAATAAATAAATTAAAATTGACTAAATTTCTCGGTCACTAATACAAAATAGTTACACAATCGTGGGGCCTTGAACAAACTGGGAAATCTAGCAACTTAACAACAACCTACAAAGCAAGTGAATCAGTGAAACAAACTTACTAAAAATAGAAGGCTATTCAACAAACTAATCAAGTAGAACAGAACACCACAAAGCAAGAAGGAAATGGCCCGATACAAGTTAATGAGAGACTACAACGTAACTCAGGTTCAAAGCCGAGCAAAGAAATTATGCGAAAGGCACCTATGGACCAACCGACCAATTTACAGGTGTTGGGTACTGTTTAGAACTAATACAAACACAGGCAGCAGGGGAAGAATTCACACAATCACCCGCACAGGCAAGTACACGTAGAATGGCGATGAAAGATTTGCGATCCAAATGCCAAGTTTAGCGAACAGACGGTCATCCAAGTAGATCACCCAAGCTACACATTTTCCGCAAAATCGCCACCAACCTCTTCCTCTTTGCTAAAGTTTTACCACTTGAAGCACGCTCGCTTGAAGAATGTTCTATGTCATTCTTTGAGCATATGAACGGACGAACATTGTTTCATATGTTAGCACATCAATTTATATGGGTCTCAGTTCTCTGGTAACAGGACTTGGCGGAGTATTATGTCTGTGTGCATCGGGACACTTGAAAATAAAAATAAACACCATTTGAGTTTATAAACTGTCTTTTCCCATCAGTCTTAGCAGACCACAGTGGCAATAATGAAAATTTGTTTACCTGTTGTTCAGAAAAGGGCCTTATTATATTACGGATGTATATATTACCAGATGTAGCGCGGACCTATTAGGTCAGAGCAAATTAGCCAGGACAAGTTCAGTAGGCAAAGGTAATCAGTTTCCGAAGGTCTAATAGCCACTCTAGGTTCCACACTTGGGCTCGTATAAAAATGTGGCAACAATAATCCGGAATCGCGCTTGTTTCTCAACTCAAAACTCTGTACACATTTGACGATATTTCAATTAAATTTATTCCATTTATATACACGTTTGAAAGAACCGGATTTCAGAAGGCCAAAGCTCTTAAGAAGATCTAGTTCTAGATAGCTTGGTTGTTTCCACCTCTTGTGATAGGTTATTTACATTTCCCATGACAAAATGAACGTTTTCTTATCACTGTTATCCTCATTCATCTACAGAGTCTCCGAAGCCTGAAGAAGTTGCTCATGAACTCCAAGGCAACAACGTTACAATCAAATGGAAGAAGAAACAGCATTGTCCGGCGTTGTATAGTATTGTTACGTTGAATTCTGCAAATCAAAAGACCATAGAAAATGCGGTTACATTTCATAACCTCGTAGGTTGCGTGGATTACACCTATACCGTCAGGTTGTATTTTCGGAGCAATGCAATGGTCGAATCTGATCCTGTTACTTTCGTCTGTAAGTGGTCTTTCTTCTTCTCACGTGACTTCAAAGCGCATGGTACCGCTATACACATGTCTACGGTTCACCACTCCCAGTCAGAATATTTGCACCATAAGATTGTTCGATAGACAAACTTCCAGACTACTATAACAACTGAGTACACTGTTGAACCGATTACTGACTCGGATGGGGAATCCACACAACCGACCAGGAACAAGAAGTACGCAGGTGTGACAAAAACTTGACAGCACATTAGCTAGATATGTAGATAGTCAGATAATTATATATATGTATATACATCAATACGTATACTTAACTCATATGTACACATATAATATACACATATAAATATTAAATAGATATACAACCGTCAAATAACCATATAGATAATAAATGTATAGTAGACGCGGCAGAAAAAACTGCGACTGTTTAATTAATCTCACCTCTGCGTCAAAGTCCCTAGGCATCTCGGAAGAGATCATATAAAACTCTGATGAAACACGCGCACGTACAAACAGGTAAAGCCTGACTAACTGGGAGTTCCTTCCACTGCATCTGACATCGTATTTGTACGATCTCCTTGTGGGATACACACGTCTTGGATAGTTAATAGTTGGACGCGGAATTTTCTGAAAACGGTTTTCCTTTGGTATATCTAGGTCCAATTAGGAATCGTTGATTGGGGATATGGTCTGAATTGAACAGATGTTTCTAACCACCGGGCAACCGAACTGATGATATGCAAGCCTCACAAAGCAATTTTTTCAGGAATGAACAGCAGAATCACTTTTTGATTTGCAAACTGAACGAGACACATCAGATGATTGTCACAGGGCTAAGTGGTTGTTGACGTTCTGGTTCTGAGATGTTCATCTAGTCGTCTATTCCATGTCGCATTCATCGCAGAGGCACGTTGCGACACCACGCGCTCCAGTCGAACGGATGACAGGCAATATGTGGCTTCGACGACGCTGTTAGGCCTTTGGGCCTGAGGCTTGCGAATTAAATACAGCAACTCGCATAACACCGAGCCTCCTGACCCCACTGAACCACTGTACACACACCCAAGTGGAATATTGACCTACGCGCCATAACCACCTGAACATGTCGCCATGGCACTTTCTGTCTGCACAAGCCATGTTCACGTGAATGTGACGAGCTATCGACTCACTGTGCACCCTAGCCTGGCCACAAGGGAGCAGCGTTTTGGAACAAGCTAATGTACTGGCAATCGAGTTCTGCGTTATTACGCAACAGTGATTCAGAAGGGTTGAAACAGTGCTTCAAAGTACAATCATTGTTGACCATTTCTAATACTTCTAGTGAGAGATATGTTTGGAAAGTTTTCTGTTACCCAGACATCTTTTCCGTCTTCCATTACCAACCACAAAATACAAATAAGGCAATTAACACGAATCCAGAAGTTCATGCAATGCCTTTGCTCATGCAGACGGTGACTGACTATGTGGACCTTAATATCTCCAGGTTGATTAAACGTCCGTGACCGTTGACGCTGAAGCTGTGCTACAACAAGGACATTTCAGTTGCACTAGTCGGAAAGGTTTTAGTGTTTTAATCTAGCCTTTGTTCATCGCTATCTTAAAACCATCTACCTCAACAGTCATTTTCTAGTGAGCGGGAAGTTTAAATCTTCGAGTAGTCGAAAACCTACTACATTTCCACTGCGATTGCTCTGTAGTACTGTAGTGGTATTTTGAAGTAGTTTCAAAAATGTTGGTAGCATAGAGTACGGAATTTTGTTAGATCACGGCTTTGCGATAGTAAGTCTACTTTGCAGTGTAAACCTTGAGAAGTACCCTAAGTTTCAGTGTCGGTCATGAAGTTATAATATTGGCCTTCTTGTCTTTAGACTAAAATAGATTACTCTGATGGCACTGTGGAATTTTTTTCTCAACTTTTTGTAGGCGCTTCATCCTCACATTTTGTATGAACCTCCCATATGAGTAATTGCCACTTGAGGGACCATTGAACAGGTGACCATGTGACACAAATACCGTGAGTGAAGGATGAGGGGCACTATATTCTGTCAGAGTATGAATTCATGACACCCTTGATCATTTACTCGTGGCCGAACGGTATAATCTTTAACCGCTAATCAAAAGGTCGCGTGTTCGAATCATCCAACAAGAATGAAGTAAGCCCAGAGTGCTTCTAGAAATTTCAACACAGATTAACTTTACTCACAGGCTCAAATCTCTTAAAACAAAACGTCTAACCTACTGCGTAGTGCTCGCACGAGAATTTGAGCGTAGATTGTTTCATTTCGCTAGTTCCCTGTGATACAGCCCAAGATAGCTTTCGTAATCCAGCATGCCTCAATCCATTCATAAGTGGCTCGAGACTATCAACTCTTCGCATCGACGACTGCATGGACAGAAATGGATACCAGCTTGTGGGACCGCTCAGCTTGAATGGATGAGGACATCAGCTTGGCCTTTAGACACGTTTTCCCAAAACTTGTCCATAATATATGGTACGCTTATATTAGCATGATACTGGTGATGTGCATATTCAGGATATCCTCCAGTATTCTGCTAGCAAAAAAGGTTACGTTTGGAACAACTAGCCACTAGTTCGCTAAAGTTGTTTGATGAACTTCTCACACTCAACCATGATGTTGGGTTACGGACCTTGCAGTTTCCCTGATATAATCACATAAGTACAAATCCCTCACTGTCTCGAAAGAAATAGTCCACTGAACCGTAGTTAGACCATTGCATTAATCCTTTACAACTGATCTACTGGTTTCGAAAGGTTTCGTTCTAGTCTCTGTATATTTTTCGTTTGGTTTGGTGGAAAAATATTCAAAAATAGGAGAGGATCCGACAGATTTTGTGTGAAAAAATGCCCGTTTCAAAAATTTGATCATCATTGTGTTTAAAGCTAGAAGTCGTTTGACCATGTGGCTTGCATCCGGCCGGAAACCCAATCGTGTAACCCCCACTATTCAGATACGTACTGACCTGTCGGTTAACGGGGTGAAAAAATACCTTTATGGTCTAAGAACCAACGCGGAACATCTGTCATCTTTTTACATTTTCCCACTTTAGTCACTGTAATTGATGCAGATTAGCAAGCATTTCGGTTCTGGTAATCTGTGTCAGTTGCGTTACAGCATGATCCTCTATTGCACACATTTTTGGGTCCCACACTGCTAAGCAGTTTTCTATATATCGTTTCCAATTTTTCGATCGCCCTCATGGGAAACCTGATTCGAAATAAGATTCGTCCACAGAAAGTCGTTTGCTGCGTTGTATGTATCAGTTCTATCCTTTGTTAACAACAAAGATCACTTGATAAATCCGAAGGCAAGACACACTAATAATAAGTGAGCCCGAGGTGAATTAGCCATCTCATAAGATTCGATGTCCGCCCTTCACGATCGCCTCGACCATGAGATCGCGACCATCCATATAAACCCATCCAACCGTATCCTCGTGCATCTTTTCGTTCACGTTCAAATTCTCCTTCACATTCATCCTCCCGAGGACAAGCATACTATTGGTATCACAGTACATTCGGAGACAGAGCATAGAAGTGTACACAACCATGTTCTTTCCGGTCAACTCATCCGACCTCTTACGCACCATCGGCCGACCTATATGGGCCGAGTAAACTTCAATGCCCCGCTTATATTACTCGCCGCCTTACGATCGTCGACAAGTCCTACGGCCTCAATTTTCTCATGGACACTGGAGCGGACATCAGCATGTAAGTGCCGATTCCTGCAAACCGATCCCCTCTTCTTTTACACTTACCGCCGCGAATGGTTCTCCCATTGAAACTTACGGATAGCGCATTTTACGACTAAATCTGGGGTTACGCCGTGACTTCCAATGGATCGGCAACAACGTCTTATTGGCGCAAATACTCAACTGTCTGCGAAAGGACATTCTATCGTTCTGCCCTCCATCTATCCAATCACAGGTTTTAAACGCGGCGATTCACCTTATCACGCACTAATACATCAGTTTCCAGACTTGACTAAACCAAATTTCCATGACCCCAAACCGAAATACTCCGTTGTTCAACGTACTCATACGCGTGGTCCTCCGGTTTTTACACATCCACGTCGTTTGGCTCCAGAGAAATTACAGTTAGCCAATGGCGAATTTCAACACATGCTTCAGCTAGGTATCATCCAACCTTCGCAGAGTATGTGGACTTCACCCCTCCATATGGTCCCCAAGAAATCATCTTCCGACTGGCGCCCTTGCGGGGACTATCGAGCACTCAGTGATGTCACCATACTTGACCAGGGCAACTTGTTCATTCGTATTTATACATTCCGACCTTGTTAAACCACCTTTACAACCTTCATATGCTGGTATTTTCGTGTTCTTTTGCGGAATGACAAATATTTTACTCTCCACTTAGATGATAAGCAGGAAAACATTTCTATTGATCGCTTGAAACTTGTTTATCTCGACTCCCTTGAGTCAAGTGTCCCTGACGGTCTACAACCCAAAGTGTCCATCGATAACGCTGCACGCCGGTCTCCCAAATCTACAAGCGACCGCCCTGCACAACCTCACCACATCACCCGTTCCGGCAGACACGTACACTGGCCAGATCGCAAATTGACATCAACTATTTCATCACAATTTGACACACCGAACGTCCAAGCGACCATCTTTTTATTTCTGTTGTTCTTTTTCGTTAGGGGGAGAATATTTATAGCGGACATTTCCATCGCAAGTTGACATCAAATGTTTCATCACAATTTGACACACCGAACGTCCAAGCGACCATTTTTTTAATGTTTTGTTGTTCCTTTTCGTTAAGGTGAGAATATTTGTAGCGGTTTCCCAATCTGCTTAGTGCATCCGCATCCACTGTCTCCCTCGTGCTTGGTTTTGTTCTGCAACCCACAACGTGCATCACCAGACAAGACGTGACTTGTCCGCAACATGGACTGATGGCAGCGCCTATATGATCCCTCTCTAAAGGGGGGAGTATTTGCAACGGCTACCCTTCTGCTTAATTATTCCTGTGGTCAACTTCACACCGGCACCTTCCCCCCTCTCGTTTTGTCTGTCTCACAATCACGCGTCAACGTCGTGACATTAATGCGACAATATGTCAATTCTCGTTCCATGACCTTTTGAACGACGCCGGGTGATTTCACAGTATTGTTTTCATGTTCCACGCATTGCAACGACATATATGTATATAAGGATAGAATACAGTCAAGCACACACGCATCACTCGCGCGTCGGAACACAGACCGGCTCTACCCACCAAAAACTGCGGACCACCAGGAACGTGTAGCAGTGAATCTGCCAAAAGAAACACGACTACCTGCACCCAAACGAATCTGGTAGAACTATCACAACTTACACTCAGAACGATAGTCCCCCGTTAACTGCGGACCACCAGGAACGTGTAGCAGTGAATCTGCCAAAAGAAACACGACTACCTGCACCCAAACGAATCTGGTAGAACTATCACAACTTACACTCAGAACGATAAGTCCCCCGTTTGAACTTTTCTATTTTTGGTATTGTATTGGACTTGATTAAGGTGCACCTAGTTGTTGTAACCTCACGCTCTCAAAACACAGGCTTTATTAGTGTCTCTTGCCTTCTGATGTATCAAGTGATTTTGGCTGTTAACGAAGTGGATCGCTAATATACACCCTACCACTGCAATGACATTTTGTCACAGGTTCACAAATATATTTTTGTTACTGACCTCACCTCACTGTCAATCGTGCAACAGAACGCACAAACTCTGCCAGTGTCACTGCGCTACTCATGCAGCGTAGCAATCTTTGCTCAGCCACCCAGTACCATTCGCTTGTTAGGAATCCATCCATTTTGCGCCTAGTCACCGTGAATGCTATCACCCTGAGTATCAATCTTTTCAACTTCCCCAGTGCCCTTCGAACCGAAAATAGATTGGATTCTTGATCAAACCACTCTCCTCGTATCGATTCCGAACCATGATACTTGCGCCACAAAACTGTACCGCGCGGATCTAGTGAAGGACAATGGGCAGAACATTAGTGTGATATGTCAAAGTGGGCGAGCTTGTTCTGTTCCAAACGCGTCACCCTGTTCAAGATGCAATCTGACGGTTACCTTTGACAAAAGACAGCCGGTTAACGTTGAAATGTGTCTGGGAGCACGTAAGTTGCTAACGTATTCCACTAACCTGGTTATAAGTGTCTGCTATCTGTGTCCCAAATCCTTCCCGAAATTTTGCTTATATCTAGAACAGGCCACTTTTTCTTCCGTGGTAGATAAATCTTTTCGCCTTTATACGAGAACCGGTCCACTAGAAGTATCCCAACAACGCAGATAGGGTGAGTGAAGTCCTCGTGATAGCTCCTCGTCAGACTGGGACATACATATACGGGAAATGATACAGTCGATCGGATGTAAGACAGTCTTGTTCAAAATAAAATCCATTTATCAGAATTCAAATTGTGTGGGTACAAACTAGTAGGGGGCATAAGAGATACTTGAGCTCAAGGCCCTGTACTAACAGTTCAGGCTGGCAAACCCGTATGCGAATGGCCTGTGCAGTGAACCGGCTACTCGTACTGATGCAGTTCAGGCTGGCAAACCCGTATGCGAATAGCCTCTGCAGTGAACCGGATATTCGTACTGATGGGCATCGGCAAATTTCTCGGCAATTTGTAGATGGATGTTAAAGCAGTTGCGGTTTTTACATGTGCGGCAAATGCTTATGTCCCGTGTCTGATAATGCCACAAAACCTTGTAGATATGCTGAATGCGTTGCAACATGTGACCAGAGGATAACCGAAGCTAGATTCCTCAGAATTGCATTTCTCTACTAAATTGCGTTCCTTCCACTGTTCAGTGAAAGAAACCAAAATACTGCCGAATTTCACCAGAAGAATTTTTTATCTTGATTAATTTTAACGGTCCATTATATAGTCACCTTGTTTTCCACGAAACTGACATCTATTGCCTAAGTACGCTGCAGTCTAAACGACGGTCGATTATGAAACAACAACAGACATGAATGAAACCACTCAAAAGTTTGCTGAAAACTCTTCGACATCCCACCACCTGCTTGGCCCTCCTTGTAGCTCATCTGGTAGTCGCAGTCCCCTAGATTCCGCCAACCTTATGATCTACTTGAAACCAAATTGAACTGACTGCGATAAATCAGTTTGGTGTTCATGGGAGACTTAATTGAATCTCTCGTTTATGGTGTTCTTCAACAGCAACCTTGTGAGTAGTTTTCTTTATGAAACTATACTGCAATATCTCGAATANATATCATATCAAATGAAACATGAGGCGGCGTGTGTGCAGCACATTCAGTTGAAGAATATCATAAACCGGGGATTCACTTGAATCTCCCGTGAAAATCAAATTGATTTGCAAATGAGCGTATTTCTAACAATGGACATGCAAATTGATTTGCAAATGAGTGTATTTCTAACAATGGACATGATGGTTTGACTCAAGCTGGTTGGAAAGCCTGTGGTCCGAACAGGGGTTGGCCTTCCTTCCATGTTAACGGATACGGTGGCTGTTCGTCGTGACACCCTGACTGTGCGCGCGGCCTACCGAATATTGTCGAGTGTTCGGTTGGCGAGCTCGATTTCGTCAAGCTTGGCTGTCAGTCTGCACTCGTTTGCAGGTCAGCATACTGTTGAGTCTACTTCACCTGGTCTGACTGTGTCACATCCGCAAGATGGGCCAATATGCCTGCATTTTTGCCCCGTCAGGCCCAAGATGCAGGTTTGTCTGTCCTACAGCCACATACTCCAGAAGACAGCAGCACCAATGATCCCCATGTGTATCAGATTATATCAGATTTGGGCATTGTGGATACGGGCAGATTTCGACATTCGAACCGTAGGTTTTTGCCGGGGTGCTGACGACCAGACAGGTTACACCAAACAACCGGGAGTGTTCACTGAGTCGTAGCATGCACAATATCCAGGGGAACATCGACCTCACACCACATGTAGCAAGCTTCACTGTCACATTTTGGTCGAAACCGTAGTCGATTTCGTTGCTGGTGTGCGCTAGTTGGTGTGATAACGATGCCGGTGAGCAGTCGCTCGAAAATGTTTTCTGTTAGGCCT